TATCCACTATTCTAAGGCTGTATTAGTTTCTCTTAGAGTATCACACTCACTAGCCGCCGTTATTCGGCTTCTCTAGTAAGTAACGCCTCATTATTTTTCTTTTATTATTATTAATATTATTATTTTACTAGGGCCATGTCCACTTACTAAAGAAGCTTTCAGTGATTGGCTAAAAGACAACATCGACCGGTTCTTCTATAGGAAACACTGCCTTAGCGATTCTTGACTCTAACCTATCTTAGTGGTTTTTGGGAATACTACTATTTGCGCGATTTCGCCCTTAGCTGGAAGCCAATGGCGATCGCTCAGGGACAAGCTACATGGTCTCGATTTCGAACCCCTGAGGGAAGCACGATTGCGCGCATCGCTAGTACTCTTAAATGCACATTGTGCAACTCCACCGTAGAGAGGAGGCAGTTCCGCGCTGATCGCCTCTAGGAGCCTCACAGTTCAGTCCCTAAGGGAAGCACAGCGTGCGTATCGGAGCCTAGGGTAAGCACATGCGTCGCCAATCCGCCTAGGGAAGCTCCACATGGCGATCGGCCTGCTAGGGAAGCACCATGGCGATCGAGCCTAGAGCGGGCACCACTTGGCCGACTCCTTCAAGCCCCTTAGGGAACGCTCCCATTCCTCTTGTGCCGCCCCTCTCCTCTATTCCTCGGTTTCTCTCCCTTCTCAGTTGGACACGGGTCTATCTTATTTATCGGTTTCTTCCTTCTTCATCTTTCCTCCTCCTCTGCATACCCTGAACACTCCTTGGCCGATGCGCTCGTTAGGGAAGCAGACATGGCGATCGGCTTCCGCATAGGGAAAGCACATGGCAATTCGCGTGACCAACGCCACATGGCGATCGCCAGGGAATGTCACATGGCGATCGGCCCCTAGGGAAAGGCACAAGCTCTTTCCTCATTTGGCGATTTCGCCTAGGGAAGCACACTCGGTCGATCCTGCCTAGGCGAAGCACCACTGGCGATTGCGCCTAAGGTGAAGCCATGGCGATCGCCCTAGGATGAAGCACATGGCGATCGCTTTAGTGGAAAGCACAATGGCGATCGCCTAGGGTAAGCAGGGAAATTTTACTCTTTTCTTTTGTCTCTTTTTCTTTATTCCCCAGGTGGTGTTGCCTCGCTCCACCCATGGCGACTCACGCCTCAGGGAAGCAACATGCGATCGCCTAGGGAAAAGCACATGGCGATCCGGCCTAGGGAAGCCAGCATGGCGATACCGGCCTAAGGGAAGCAACAAATGGCGGGAATCGCCTAGGGAAGCACATGGGCAGTCTCCGGCTCCACTGGCAACCTTTGGCAGCTTGCGCCTAGGGCCATCACGCCACATGGCGACGCTCTACTGGGAAGTGGACATTCATGGCCTGGCACTCTGTCCATAATGGGAAGCACTTGGCGATCGCCTAGGAAGCTTGCACCTTCTCACATGGGGATCTGGCCGTCTAGGGAAGCCAGCAAATGGCGATTCGCTCTATGGCTGAAGCCTCAGAGCTACTAACTATGGCGAATCCCGCCTAGCGGAAGCACATGGCGATCGGGCCTAGTGTCGCAATTGTTACATTTCTTTGTTGTTGGCGATCGGTGCCCGTCCAGGATGCAGCACTATCGCGCGTATCCTGCCTAGGGAATAGCACATGGCGATCGGGGCCCTAGGGATCTCGAGCACCGACATGGCGATCGGCTAGGGAAGCACGCTGGCGATCGCTAGGGAAGTTGCACATGGCCGATCCCCTAGGGGAAATATGCACAGTGGCGTCGGGGCCTTAGGGAAGCAACATGGCGATCGCCTAGGGAATGTTAGCATGGCGATCGCCAGGGAAGATCAGCATTGGCGATCGCCTAGGGAAGCACGATCGCACTAGGAAGCACAATGGCGATCGCCTAGGGGAAGCACATTGGCGATACATGGCGATCGCCTAGGGGAAAGCCACATGGCGATCGCCTAGGGAAGCACATGGCGATCGCCTAGGGAATGGCACATGGCGATCGCCTAGGGAAATGCGACGATCGGCAAAGAAAACACTGCAATCTGCTAAGGACACAGTGATCAGCTAGGGAAGCAAGACAATTGGCTAGGGAAGCACAGCAATCATATGGGATTGCATTCAGTCAGGGAAACACTGCGCTCGGCTAGGGAAGTACTCAGCCATCGACAAAGAAAACATAGGGATTGGTTAGGCAAACACTATGATCGGCAAGGAAATCATAAAACAAGCAGCTAAGAAAACATGGGTGTCGGCCTGGGAAGCATACAGCAACCAGCTAAGGAAATATGATGAATAACTAGTGAAGCACAGCGGTCAGATGGGGTAACAGCAATAGGTTAGGGAAACACTGTGATCGGTTAGGGAAGCATACAGCGATCAACTAAGGAAATACTGCGATCAACTAGGGGAGCACACAACAATCGGGTAGGAAAAAACACTATTACACTCGCTAACCATGAAAAGTATACCACCCCTGCTGACGGCAGTCCGATGAGGCATGGGTTGTTTCTGATAGACGGTTCAGCCAAACTATCATTGGCAACACATGCACAAACATTATGAAGAGTCACAAGTAAAACTCTTGAAAAACAAGTTTCGAATTATATTTTGAACACCTGTTAGTACCATGATTTTCTGTATAGGGTAAGACAGATTCAAAGCTTCAATCCATTCAGAGACTTTTGCCATAACTGTTTATTAGAGTATGTTTATGTGTGTGTTGCCTGTCATAATTTGGCTGAGCCGTCATTCAGAAACACCCCAAGCCTCATCGCAGGGTCGTCAGAGGTGGTATACTTTTTGTGGTCATCGAGTTTACCTACAGTAAGATATAAATATATAATAGACACACGCACTGTAAGTGCAAGATTCTTAGAATTCAAATGATTGTTCAACATTGGAAAACCAAACACAAGATCACCTTACATATTATCTAAAAATATTAACTTTAACTCTAATACCGCAACACATGAAATAAGTAACGTGAATCGTTGATCAGCTAAGTAAACACTGTGATTCGCCTAGGAAGCACGACAATTGGCTTGGGAAACACGGCAATCAGATAGGGGTAATACTGCGGTCGGTTAGGGAAGCACACAGTGATCGGTTAAGGAAACACTACGATTGGCTAGGGAAACACACAGCGATTGGCTAAGGAAATACTGCGATCGGTTAGTTAAGCACAGCGATCGGCTACAGAAACACTGCAATTGGTGATCGTCTAGGAAAGCATAGGGCAATTGGCCAAGGAAACACAATGATCGGCTAGGGAAACAGTAACTGGCTAGGGAAGCATACGGCAGTTGGCTAGGGAAGCTCGAAGCGGTTGGCTAAGGAAATACGACAGTCAGCTAGGGAAGCATGGCAATTGGCTAGGAAAGCACATAGCAATCAGTTAAGGAAGCACGGCGATCAGCTAAGGAAGCACATAACAAATAGCTAAGGAGGCATAGCGATCAGCTGGGGAAGTACACAACGAATGGTTAAGGAAGCACGGCGATCGGATCGGATCGTGTGTGTGTGTTTGCATATTAATTTATTCATATATTTATTTACATGCATATATTTACATACATATGTATACGTATATATATATATATATATATATATATATATATATATTATATATATATATATATACATACATACATATATACATACATACTATATATATATATATATATATATATATATATATATATATATATATATATATATGCGCACACGAGTGTGTGTGTGTGTGTGTGTGTGTGTGTGTGTGTGTGTGTGTGTGTGTGTGTGTGTGGTGTGTGTGCTGTGTGTGTTGTGTGTGTGTGCGTGTGTGTTTGTGTTTTTATATGTGTTTGTGTAGTTCTGTGTAGCGGAAATTATATTAAATATGGTGAAATAATATCTATACGGCTTCCTATTGCCAAACGTGCTTCTAGGTCTTGTGTACAATACCTGGATTCATACTAGAATCCTTTTCAGAAATCTTCCTGCGATACGTATCTGGTTCTCGCCTCTCAGTGAATAAGAGGTCGGATCTTGTGTGTGCTATTTTACCATTATTTCCCATTCAAAAAGTATCCAACTTCTCATTTTCATATTCTTGTGCTAATACTTCCTACATGTTTTCTCAGTTTCATTCATTTATTATCGGTGTGTGCGCGTGCTTATCATATATGACATATGGATGATTTTTTTTATCATTCATTAGTGGCCGTAATCATGGCCTCTCAAGTTTATAATTTTATCGGATTGTATTCCCTTCTTATTTGACGCCTGTTCTCATTTATGTTTTCTTTTGTTTTGTCTTTGACCCGTTGATTATTATTGCACCGTAGCATTTGTTTCTGACGCACAATTTACCTTTCCCGACAGCTCCAAAAGGTACTCCGCTATGTGCATGGGCTGCTCAGTGTTCAGTATTCTATGAATTGGATACTCTTGTTTGTAACGAAGTCTGTGATTGCCTCATGATATTTCGCAATATTTTCACAGAAAAGGGAATATCAGCCATTAATTTGTTGAACTGTTTAGAAATATTTTAATGTTTTCTCCAATACCAACGTTATTGCGTGAAATATGAGGTGTTTTTTTTTTTCTTTAAGACAGTGTAATTGAAACTGGTGTAACTGAACTTCAACACATCACGATGGCCAAACACCAATGAAAATATTTCAACTCAAGTTGAATACACACACTATTTTGTCTGTAAAAAAAGGCGCTTTCACAGCAGAGTGGCACGTCGCACGTGGCACGCTATTGAAAACGAACATCAAGAAATATTTTGAAATTTTCACACAGGAGTGGCGCGGCACGTCGCATGTGCTATGTGCGATCTGCGTGCGACGCCACTCCATTTCTGTTTGAAAGGTTTCATAAATTTCCGAATGTAAAAGCGGCCGAAGTCGTATTTTTTTCTTGATTTATTGTCTGTGCATTGCTTCCTCGTGGAATTTACGAATATAGAACTACTCAATTGCTTCACGGGCTATTTATGGTGACGACTGGTTGGAGGTCCGGAATGAAAACTGAAAGTGATTTCAAGGTTTATAGAGATGAAAATTAGGTTAGAATTTTCGGAAAGTGTTAAGAAGGCTTTTTTATGAAGCATATCCGCGGGCGACATTCACGCGTTTCATTAAATATTACACTTGCAATCTTTTCTCTCTCAGACCCATCACTCTCCTAGTCTTGAAGATAATATTGGACAAACCTTATTACCAATCTCTGATTTCCTCTTTTAAGTCAGTCGCAGTTAATCGCGGATGTCTTCATGAAGAGTTACCTTCACATACACCTTGTACACTGTTTTCGATGAACAGTAAAGCGGTAACTACGTTTGATTTCATTTTCGTTTTTCAGCTTGAATGGATTGGAGCATGAAATTACGCTGGGAATTTGTCATCTATTGTTCCTCATAAAAAAAATATTTAGTAAATTCATGAAGGATATTAACCATTACCTTGCCAAGCTAAAAATGCGTATATATATATATATATATATATATATATATATATATTATATATATATATATACATACATATATATATATATATATAATATATATATATATATAATATATATAATATGTGTGTGTGTGTGTTGTTGTGTGTGTGTGTGTGTGTGTGTGTGTGTGTGTTGTGTGTGTGAGTGTTGTGTGTGTGTGCGTGCGTGTGTGTGTGTGTGTGTGTGTGTGTGGTGGGGTAGAAAAAACCCACAATGCACAAAGTAGTTTGTGCATTGTGGGTTTCTACCATACTATCAACACAGTAGAATGTTTTTCCATTCACACACGCACACACACACACACACACACACAACACANACCGGGTGTGCCAGCAAGGAGCGCAGCCAACTCTCTTCGGCAGAACTTGCCTGATTCCTCTCTGTTCACCGTGACTTCTATTACGTGAGCCCTTAACGAGTAATAAATAAATATCGAATTGTTAGTATTTTATGTAAGTGTATGTGGGCTTTTAGTGTCTCTCATATAGCGTAAATTGTTGGTGCGTACACAATAATATTCTTTTTTTATAGAGGAAGAGGAATAAATTGTATAAAATCGGTATAAAACTATTCCTCAATACCTTTCCTTAGTAATTTTGGTGAGAAAAATATGGAATAATATCCATACTATGTCTCTCTCTCTCTCTCTCTCTCTCTCTCTCTCTCTCTCTCTCTCTCTCTCTCTTCTCTCTCTCTCTCTCTCTCTCTTCTCTCTCTCTCTCTCTCTCGCAAGAGTGGAATATATTACCAAAGATATTTGATTTTACAGAAAAGGGAAAGATTTAACATTATACAAGAGTAAGACAAAAATATTCTGCGTGTGTGTGAGACCACGTAGTTATATTTCTGTACAGATGTAAACTTATACCTATAGTTGCCTGTGTTTATGCATGTTTACCTATACACAGGAGTACTAAATCTTACCGCCTTTGCTTGCAGGCATTGCAGTTGCGTTCCAATGGGGCGCCTGTTCATGCCGACGGGACCGGGGCGGTGCTATGTCTCCAGGTTCTCCAAGGCCTGTCTGGCGATCGTTTCATTGATGAGGTAATATTGCAAGGAGTGAGAGCGTGGTTGCTTCAGTATCGTGGTGTAAATTGAAGTCATTTTCTGGTTTACGAGAAACGGATATTTCCTTTACCACTCCTTTCCTCCTCTCTCGCTTTCCCTCTCCGTTTCCGCCTGCCTCTCCCTCTCTCCCAGCCACTTCCCCGTCCCTCTCGCCTCCCTTTCCCTCTTCCTCTCGCCCTCCAAACCCTTTCCCTCTCCCTCTCGCCTCCCACTCCCTTTCCCTCTTCCTCTCGCCCTCCAACCCTTTCCCTCTCCTCTCTCTCCCTCTCACCTCCCACTCCTTTCCCTCTCCCTCTCCTTCCCCCTTCCTCTCCCTCTCGCCCTCCCTCTCCTTTCTCTCCCTCTCGCCTCCCACTCCCCTCTCCTCCCACTCCCTTTCCTCTCCCTCTCGCCCCACCCCCTTCCCTCTTCCCCTCTCTCCCACTCCCCCCTCTCCCTCTCGCCTCCCACTCCCTTTCCCTCTCCCTCTCGCCTCCCACTCCTTTTCCCTCTCCCTCCTCTCCCCTTTCCTCCTCCTTCGCCACCCACTCTTCCCCGCTCTCTCGCCTCCACTCCCTTTCCCTCTCGCCTCTCACCCCCTTTTCCTCTCCCTCTCCCTCTCCCCTCCCTCCCCCCCCCCCTCCCCCTCTAACCCCGTCTCTCTCCGAAGCCTCTTCAGCTGCTGGCTCTACCGGGACGCCTTCGTCGCCTCCGGAGACTCGGCCAAGCAGCTCTCCGCACAGCTGCTCAGGGACTTCCCCGTCAAGACCTTCCTCAAGTACTGGGAAGACCACGGAGGAGGTGCGACAGCAGGAGCGGAAACGGGAGCAGAAACAGAAGCGGAAACGGGAGCTGGAGCAGGAGAAGAAGCAGGTAGGAAGGCAGAAACAAGAGGTAAACGCTAAAATCATTTTTAAGATGACATAACTGCTTCGCTTCGCTTACTTTAGTTTCAATTTTGATACGGAAACCGCAGTCAATCAACGTTGATATAAATGTTTCAATAAACTAACCCTCCTTTGACAAGTGATGTCAAAATCCTCCCAAATCGAGCCATCTTGCAGGACGTCTTGCGGCAGGCTCTCCACCAGACTTCCACGACAAGATGTTCACGCCCGTGCTGGAGGCGTTTCGGAATCCGGACGGCCGGGATGGGCGGAGGAAGAGGTGGGCGGAAGGATCCTTGCTTTTGGAGGGAGAGGGAGAGGGAGGGAGAGGGATAGGGACAAGGAAAGGGAGGGAGAGGAAGAGGGAAAGGGTCAAGTAAAGGGAGGGAGAGGGAGTGGGATGGAAGAAGAGGGAGAGAGAGAGAGAGTGGGATGGAAGGAAAGGTAGAGGGTAAGAAGAGTGAGGTAGAGAGGACAATAGAAAGATAGATATATATAAAGAGAGCGAGAGAGAAAGAGAGATTGAACCTGAAACAGAAAGAGAAATGTTTATTTGGTCTAAAACAAAAACATATCATGAATATAATTGATAGGCCACGTAAACTAGCAAGTAACGTAAGCAGAAAGTTTAAAAGTAATGACATCATTAGCAAGAGGTATGCACAGATCTGGAAAAACAACATTTAAAGAAAACGACAAGAATAGCTAACATCTTAAACGATTTAAAATCAGCATAGGCAGTGCGTAGTTAATTTTTCACTTTATTGGAATCTGTTAAGTGATGGACTGTGCGATATGTAATTAGATAGATTTTAACCTCGTGATATTTAACATGCTTTTTACGACCGTGAGGAGAGAACAAAGGGCAATCTTTGTATAGTCTTAGTTCTTGCTGGATATTATATTCAGCTGGACAGACTTTTCATGTACAAGCGTTGCACACAAGCGTTTATACATGAGCAGGTTTCAGAATTTTCCATTTCAATGACAGTATCATTTGTTTCTCTTTTTTTCCTATGGATATGCAGAAATTATCCGTCCACGTGGTTATCACGTAAGAAGGAATGGTAACAGAAGCTCTACAGTGCCATAATCACTTAAGGGGCGGTCACACAAGTCCATTCTGTCCAAGGATCCCAAGACTAAACAGGGTGCTTCAAAAGCTGTAGTGGGATCCGATATAAAAATGTCGGAATTTCATCCGTAGCCAGACCAGAAAAGATATTGCTGAAACAAAAAATGTAATCTAATTATTGGTAAACTCATTTCTTCAAATCCTGAAACATGATTATTATATCATGTTAAAAAATGCATTATTTGAATAATAAGTTACATCGCATCGAACAATTGGGTCTCATTATTTTTTTTAGATAAATCAGATAAATATTCATTTGACCAACGAACAGAAACATCAACCCACTCCTACACGCCAGACATGGAGGTCTCTTCAGAAGTTATTTACGCCTTGTTTGATAAAGTGAGAGCTAAAGAGTTGTTGTGGAACTACAGTCATACGGATTATAAAAGCAGGAATTTGAAAAGAACATTAGTGGATGAAATAAGCAAGGAAATTAGTCATAAAACTTGTGAATGCTGGACTGAGACGATGGTTCTCTCCGAGCGGCTACTGTGTGTAGCGTGACCAATCCCAAGCTGTAGCTAACCTGACTTCGGCGAGGCTGTCGAGGGATCCCAGAACAGGGAAGATTAGTGTGACCTTCGCTTTAGGAAGTGAAAAGGGAGATCAGATTCGAAAAGCGTTATTGTAAGAGCTTGTAGTTTAGACGACAGGGAGGAGTTTACAGCGATATTGGGTTCTCGTGTTGTTTTCAGTTGCTTTCTGATGCAGGGGTTCCTCGTCTGTTGTGCAGTGATGTTGCCTGTTGTTGCAGCTTGGTGGAGGATTCTAGCTGTCGTAATTGGCCATGGCTGATTTACTCCGATTAGTTCCTCTGGTAAGGTAGGTTCTGAGAAGGTAGTCTGGCCCTTGCATTGGTAGTCTTTGGTCAGTGGTATCTTATCACTAGATTCCGAGAGATGAGAAACGTGATTTTTTTACATTGCTGGGTCTCGTGGTAGTCCATTTGGGCTTCCACTGTCACAGGGCACAGGTCATCTGTAAAAAAACAAATGATATAGCCTCTCACTTTGCCATTGTTTGTTTGCCATCCCTTCCTTTTCAGTGAGAAAAGTTGGCGATAATACCGTAGATATTGCTGACGCCTTAGACAAGGTCCAGCGAAAGAATGATGTTCAATTTATCGCTGAGGATTTTAGCCAGCTTCGCTCGGCGTTGCTCTTTGCTGCTCCTTCTGGTCTTCTGCATGCGGCTGAAACATGTATTGGGCGTTTTTGCGTGGTCCAATCGACACACAGCACTCCCAATGAAAGTCGAAGATTATCATTTTCTTCTTGCAACTCTGTGATTTGTTAGAGATGCTAAGTATTCTTTTGAACGAGGAGTTTGGCATTAAATACTTAAGCCTGAGTGGCTGAAGAAGACAAGTTCGTTTGTATATTGCAGTATCTGGCAATACATCTGGTATCAACTTCACTGATGATCGTTTTAATGTTGATATAAGAGTAAATGATTAGGTGATAAGGCGTTTTCTCAGCAAGTGGTGTGACGTCACGGGCTAGTCAAATTCGCGGAATACAAAACTTTGAACGAGGAAAACGTTGGATTTGAGGACTCATGAAGTCTGTGTACAAAAACTGTAAAGATTCATTTGTTAAGTGAATAGAGATATAGGGAAAGATAGAGAGAGGGGAACATAATCATAGGGAAAAATTCAGAGAAACTTCTTCCCCCTTTCTCCATCCTAATGCATAAAATTCATACCCATTTGCCTCTTGCTTCATCGCTCCTTCCACCTCTTCCCTCAAATCCCAGCTTCAGGAGCGGCGACGTCCCTAAAGTCGTGGCCTACATCGACAAGGCTTTTCTGAAGACGAAGTGGTTCGTAGCGCACGTCAGAGACATCCAGGAAGGCCATTGTCCGTTGCCTTGTACAATCACGACGCAGCTGAGGATTATACGGGGTTTGAGTAGGTAGATTGTTGGTCTCTCGTCTTTGGATACATTGTATGCTATGGATGAGCTCTTGAGTCTTAACAAACTGGTGTATTTTCTTTTTCTCTCTCTCTTTCTCCTTTTTTCTCCTTATTTCTCTTTTTCTCCATTTTTTTTCCTCATCTCTTTTTCTCTTATTCTCTTGTTTCCATTCTATTTTCCATTTTCCTTTTCTCATTCTGATATTTGTTTTTTCCTTTTTTCTGTTTTTCTCTCTCTTCCTCTCGCTCCCTCTTCCCCTCACCCCTCCCCCTCCCCTCCTGCAGGTGGAGACCGCGGACGCCGTGTTCATCCACATGAAGAGCATTCCGAGCCGAGAGAAGCTCCTCCGCGACCTGCGTCCCCGCGACCCGTCTCAGCCCTGGATCATGTTCGAGGCCGAGACCCACTTCATCGCCTCCACCAAGTACAAAGTGAACTACCGGACCCTGAACGGCGTCTTCAACCGCACCATGTACTACCGCCGTGACGCAGACATCCTGTTCAACCACGGCTTCATCGTGGGGCGAGGCGACGACGCCAGCCTCCTGCCGAGGCACTGGGTCCGGGAGCCCCTGGTGCACAGGGCGAACGTGACGGGGCGAATCGCAGTGGCCTTCATCTCCAACTGCAGAGCGCGCAGCAATCGCCTTCTCTACATCAACGAGCTGCAGAAGTACACCACCGTCGACGTGTACGGCAGGTGCGGGAGGCTGAAGTGCGGGAAATCGCGCTATGCCGAGCACGAGTATCGGGTGGACCAGGATCCCTGTTTGCGAGCCGCGGCGGACAAGTACCTGTTCTACCTGGCCTTCGAGAACGCCATTTGCGACGACTACGCCACGGAGAAGCTGTACAACCTGATGTTCTACCCGCTGGTGCCCGTGGTGTTCGGAGGGGCCAACTACGACGACCTTCTTCCCCCCAACTCGTACATCGACGCCAGGCAGTACGCGCCTTCGGAACTGGCCGAGAAATTGCAGCATTTGGCGGAGCACCCACAGGTAACATGCCTGCTGTACGTTCGTCATATTTTGCCGATTATATGCCTCCAAAGCTTTGGTTACTGGATTTGATTTCTCAAGCATTTAATTTGCATAACCTTGAATAGCTATAGTTTTCTTCAATGAGTTTCTGTGCCTTAGACTGAATGCTGATCCTACATTAGTGATAGCACAAAGGCTTTGGTGTTAATGACTGTCAAACTACAAATCTTCAAAGAGTTTTTTAATGCTAACACAACTAACGTGACTTCATTACACATGTACATCTCCACAGAAAACTATCGTTAGGAGGAGTGTTGAAACGTACAACAACGAACTGAACCTTATGTTATAGAAGAGTTGGTATTTCATTCTTTCGAATTTGTCTCATTCTGGAGACTTCTTGTCGTAAGAGATGGTATATGCTTTGTAATATTCAGATAAGCCATCCATACCCAAAAGTAGTTGGAAAGTTAGAGATACCAAGAGTTTCGTTGCATTAACAACTATATTTCAGAAAGAATCTTTGCTTGTCAGAATGTTTAGCATGACTCTAACGACACATTTTTCTCTTTAGCAGTATATCTTCATACACACACGCACATACACATAAGTATACTCATACGCATTCCCACACACACACACCAAACATTTACATATTCCCTATCACTCATACCCTGACCCGCTGAAAATCGTTGTTCCCCATTCACCTCATTGCAGGAATACCAGACTTACCTAGAGTGGAGGAAGTACTACCAGCCTTCCACTGTGGGAGGCAGCCGTGTCCTCTGCGACCTGTGCACACGACTCTACGACCAAGCCTTCTACGAGGAGAACACAATTGGAGATTTTTACGACTGGTTTGTGACGAAATCTCACTGCACGCCCTGGGTCGCTGCGAACGGCACGGGCCAACGGGTTGCCTAGAAGGGGACGGCGGGGTTCATAGGCAGGCATTA